AATGCGTTTCTAAAGTGCATAAACTTTTGGGATTGACTGTATAGCCAATACATCCTTTATTCAATCAGCTCTATCAAATGAAAAATTCATATAATGCATCTTTCGAATGAAACCAGATGGCTAATCAATTTTTTTTATTCTGTTTCATCCTGCATAAAAACGATCTCGTATTCCTCTGAATTCCTGTTTGCCGGCATCGAACAACTTTATTTTCCTTGCGTAAGGAAGGAGCCTGTTCTAATTTGCGAGGCGATCAAATAAATTTGAATACTCATCGCGATCACGAGGCAAACGGTCAGCTGTCTTCACGGTTAACGTGTTCGTCATCTCGAAGAAAAAGAATACCGGTACCGCATTCGAAGGCCGAATTCCAACTGCATTCTAATTATCACCACGTTATCATTGTTACATCTTCTCGAAGAGAAGATTAATCGTTAAGCGGCTATTAAGCGGCGCGTAATCACTGTATTTGGTCTCGCCGCGTTAAAGATGATTCAACCGAGCGGCGCTATAAATGTCGAGGGTGTTATAAACACATTTTCCAAGTCTTAACGCGCAGGAAGTTTTATGGTGCAGATCGTTTAACATTGGTGAATGTTCCTATAATTTCTGCCAAAGCACTGATTTCCTAACACGTATAATTTAATATCGCTCTATCAGAGTTCACAGACGGTTAAAGCACGGCGGATGTACGTTACGGCGTGCGCGTTTCTTGTTAACCGATGGGAATAGATTTTATGATTCTATCCGCGTTGTACTTTGAGAGAGCACCTCCGGCGAACGATTTCGCAAAAAGGATCGTTTCCACAGTCCATCAACCGTGTTACCGAAATGTACTACAATGCTGCTAACGTTCCCCTTTGTCTCGACGCCATCACCTAATCTAAATCGTTCCGTTGATTTAATTCATAATCCCTTTGGATAGATACGATCGCCACGATTTACAGGCACGATCGATTCTCGATTTTGCAACAGATTTATTGGACATCAGATTCAAGTCTAAGAATCGATATTATTATCCTTATTGGAACTCTTATACTATAGAAAGGCGATTTGATTGCAACTAAATGATTTATCAATACCATACAAGGTTTGGCTGATTTGTAAGAACTATTGTCGAACAGATTGCAAGCGGTTTCTATTGATTGTTTCGACTGTGGTACTGGTTGCAATTCAGGATCACGGTAGGTAGGTGGATTTCTCATGCAAAGATAACTGTCTTTGCGAAATACTGCTTAGGTCGCAGGATTTTTCTATGGGGACGCCCGACGGAAATTAACAACCTAGAAATTGGATTGAATTTGTTAATGCCAAATTACATTGGATTATTCCAACGAACTGGAAGTGACTGAAATAGATCTTAAATTAACCAAAATAATATGCAAGATTTGTGGAAACGGAAAAGAAGACAAGGAACCCGATTTGCGAACTGGAGTGGTATTCCCTTAAGGAGATACGAAAAAAAAATATTTCTAAAGAGTTGTAGATAACGAGAGACTGATTTTCCCAAAGCGGCCCAAACAAATTAAACTGTCTCTGCTGTTCGAGGAAACATTTTAGAGCGTGTGCCCGTACTTGGAGCCCAACGCCGAGGAAAGAGAGGTGCACGCGTACCCTTGGGGCACACCTTCGGGGACCAAAAGTATTTTGCCTGATTTCCGCGTGCGCTAGTTATCCAACGACCCGAACATTACATAAACTGACATTTGAGCAAGCTCGCCGACGAGTCATCGAGTGTCTGACAGAGTTCAGTGACATAAGATGTTCTCTTTATTACAATAACATAAAAAATTATCTCACGAATAAATTTGCGTTTAAGCGTGTATCTAAAACTGTTTCTTCACATCTTCTGTGAGAAAGTTTACCGCCAGACAGGTGAAATATTACTTGAGTATTATGTAATTCAAAATATTCGAGACATTTAAATAGAAGTTTGCGTCGCGTCGATGCCGTTCACCGCTCTGTCTACACTCTTCGCCCTTGGAGAGTGATTTAAAGATCCTGGCGCGAAACGCGCTCCGCACGATTTCGCATAAAGTCGCACATAACTTTTATTACCAGCGACAAAACTGTATTAATGCAATTTATAATGACGACGAAATAGTAGTAAATAATAAAAAAAATAACACTCACCCACTCTGGATACGACCGCCAGCAGGAGCAACACGCTGCTCACGATAATCATGTTGGTCTTCTTGATACTACTCGCTGGAAACAAATTCCTGATGCTACTCGAACGTTGAAGAATTCGCGCACATACGCGTGAAAAATTTTCGGTGGACGCGTGCGTACAGCGAGGATGAAATAAACAAAACCGGTGAAACGGTGATATCGCGTGAAGCGGCCGACTCCGCGCGACGTTGCTGCCGCGGCGATTTCCTTTCGTTTTTCCTTTCGATTACGGTTTTTACCGAGCTCGATATCCCGGCCGAACGAACACTGACTGATCCTTCGGTCGCGTTACTCCTGCCCGAGTAAAAATTCGTCGGTGAAAAATATCTTGAACAGGGTAGAAGGGGGAGAGAAAAGGTGGAAGGCAGCGAGGAGCCGGAGGCAGCAGCTTCAATGTGGCGCCGTTTCAAAGCCGCGAGAGCTCCATCGACGTCGCAAAACATATGCTACGGTCACGAAGAGAGAAAGGTGACTGGGTATACGCAAGGCGTGCTCAATACCTCCTGTCTTCTTGGCATAGTCACCTTTCTAGCAAACCAGCAACAAAGAAGGGAGTGTTGGTACTATATCGCGTGGCCACCACCATTCTCGCGCTCGCGATCACCGAACGAGCCGATGGTGGTGGGCCAGCCTCGCGACCGGTGGTGGTGGTCGCCGATGGTAGTGGTACCGGTACCACCGATGCAGATCGGTCGCCTACCACCACCAAATCCGCCTTCTTTCGATCGGATTTTTCTGTTCTTCGTATCGGTAACCCTGAAACCATTCTCAGCTTACGTGACCGGATGATAATTGAAAAATGTTCACGTCGACAGGTGAATATACGATCTTTCTCCTCGGACGACAAGGGTTTAGAAGACACGTCGTAAATTCGCGTGATATGTTTTAGCTTGCGTTCTGCAGAATTCCCGAATAGGATATTATATTACAGAGAAAACTGAATTGGAGTCTTTACGGTAAAATAGATATAAATATAAAAATTATACTTTTTTGCGATGAATCAGTAGATGGTAGATTTGTATAAAAACTTTATTTTCCTCGGCCATATAAAATCACCAATATTTGTTCGAATACAGTACGTTATTTTGATGTAACAATATTACATGGTCAGCATCGAATTAATAAAAACTACATTAACTTGAAAATACCCTTTTGTTATAACTAAGAGTTAATGTTTGGTACCGCAACAAACGTTGACGCCCATTACGGATGACACTGATCGGAGCGAAGGCAATCGTCTTGCACAGTCCCGCACGTAACTAAAATTTATACGACGAAGGGTGCGTAGGAAAGAAGAATCAAAGTAGCAACAATAAAATATTATAATTGATAAGAATCATTTGCCTCCCAAGCTGAATGAAGAAGAGTACGATTGACAGAAGGCTTTTAATTAAAACGAGTTCTTTGTTCCTGCTGACCCTTCGATACAATAAAAAGTATAACACCTTCCGTAACGTAATACTATGTTGTAACACGCAACGCCGCCGCGATAAAAGAAATGCCATTGGTGGAATTACATAGTCCTTTTTGTTAATCCTGCCTCCGATTATTACGAATATATCACATGATAATTATGAACGTATCACATATATATGTACATTATTTTCATTCCTTATATCGTGGAAAACACAAATACGGCATCGAGTTTAGCTACACGGATCATTTATTTTTTCCTCCCTCGGGCGTACCGATATAAATGAACGTAAACGACTAGACGTACTTGCGATATTGTCACAAGTAATTTCTTACTTCCTTTTAAAGGTCTTCTGAGAGCGGTCAAACTGGATGCTTTAATTCGCGAACGAAAATAGTCTGTATGTTACATATATGACACAATACATAAGACCTTGAAATACTTTCTACACACTTGATTACAGCTTACGAATAATCTGTGCCACGAATGCGTACACCTATGGAAACTATGAACCGAATAAAATTCTTTATCTGGTTTGGCATTTATAACTGTACACGCAAAACGTTTGATTACTTACAAAAAAGAAAGCGTTAATCGACGCTGTCGCTTCATACAAAATTGAAATATAAAAATAATGAAATTATTATTAATAGCTCTCAGATAATCTATGAAGTTGTAAGCTGCAATTTCAGTCCTCGCATTATACAGATCCATCCCTGAGGCTGCTACTCAACACGCAATCCGGACATAGCTACGTTTATTTCATTTTTGTACGGCTTATATAAAATATTATCTTGCACGATGATAATTATTGTTTCAACGATTAGAGAAAAGTAAGCGTTTGATAAATTTGGTTTTCGAGCGATTTCAATTGACTATGATTAAAATATTTTGCGTAGCTCCCAAAGGCCGATTTTAAAAGTTCAAGAATTTGCCAAATAATTTATCGTTTTTTATTTCTTTTTTCCGTTTTATTAATAACTATGAAACGATTTATATGTACATCGACTGAACACGGCAGTGTGCGCAACGTGGTTGCGTGCCGTGGGTCCGATTCGCTTTTGAATAATATTACAAGATACCCCATTAACTTTGTACAAAATCCAATTTGCGAATACATAAAAGCGCAGAGTATCGCCCATTCCTCGTGAATGAAAGACCTTCTTAATTTGCTGTCCGACAACCACTGGAACGTGGATTAATACTTACAACGATGTAAGTGTTCCCTATGCATTTGGAAATAGCCTCTAGTGCGCGGCTTTAATTAGCAATATGCGCCACTATTTACTCGAAATACATTCGAGGCTATGTATAAATATATTTATGTATATATATAATATGTATAGGATGCCCATTTCGAGGGTAAGATAACTGTGTAATTGATGAAATATTCTGTATAATTCTAATTACTAACTAATTCAATTTGCCTAAACTTCTTGCGCAAGTTGCTTACAGAGTCTTTGAACAAAACAGGGTCGAGCCTCATATTTGATCGTAATAATGGCATGTACCCGAAAACAGCAACAAACGTATTCATGCACGTTTGCCGCTGTATAAAGTGATCCGGATCGTTCCATGGGGATCTGAAAATTCGATTTTATCAACCGAGGGAATGGTGCCACGAGGGTGCCATTCAAGAATCACACAATCATTTAAGTAATCACCTATGCACTCGCAAGGCAGCTCAGTGTAAATATGTAATACATACCTGATTCCAGCCACTGTAGTATCTTTATACAATTTCCGTTGAGTTACTTTAATAGGTGGTCTTCGCGTAACATGACTTACTAAAAAATTCATAAGTATGTCCTCGCAATTTTGCGATTGCTCGACAGTCTTGTGAAGTGTCGAACTTAATAATTCGGTATACAACGTATTATAATAACGATGGTAAAAAGCGGCACCAGTTAAAATTATACTATAGTCATTTGTCCATTTACTTGTGTAGCCCCATGAGCGCTTTGCGTAATAAGAAATACATTGTAAGAAGAATTTTGTAAGACGTAAAATAGAAAAGAACGTCTCCCTAAATTATACTTACTTTAGAGTCGTCCCAGTAGTGTGATCTAGCTGGGTAACCAACTAATCGATCAGGAAACGATCGCCAAACGGTGAAAGCGAAATCAATTTCATCTGTGTTGAGTGTGGCATCTTCGTCTAGAGATAATATGGCACTAGTTTTGATTAACGGATGAGGGTAGAAACGTTGGGATATACCGTCGACCGTAGCAACATGTATTGACGCTTTGATCCCTTGCCATCGTGGTCTCCTTGGTAACGGAATGTCCGAGTTCCACATTAGTATAATCTGGAACAGACGAATGTCTCGTTTAATCGTGTCAACAGCAAACCAAAGACTCGGTCGAAGCAAGGTAAACTCACCTTATCTAGGTATTTACTTTTCGCCAGACTTTTAAGCAGTCGATATAGGACAGCAGTGGATCCCAACTGCGAGTAGATGATGGCAGTGAATGTATTACCTGGATTACTTTTTGAAAATGGAAGTTCTTGCTGACTATCCGCGAACTGCGGTAATATTGCTAACGCTCCTGGATTAGTATTCCAAACAAGTTTCTCTCTCGTACCCTCCCAAGGTAGACGCTCACGAATATTCTGCGAGTGCAATGGAACATTAGGAAACTAGAGTAATCCTCGTGTCAAGATTGATAGTGTCATTTTATGGCGTTACCTCGAATACTGTAAATACGATTTTTTCTATCGAGGAAAAGTACCGTTCCCAAAGGAATTGCGTCTGCTGTCGTAATTTAAGAATTTGTACATTGGACACAGACCGCACTATATCTGAA